GGAAGGAAGGAAGGAAGGAAGGAAGGAAGGAAGGAAGGAAGGAAGGAAGGAAGGAGCTTTTCATTTTCATGGGCACAGGGGAATACAACTGGTGATGCCATGATAGTATTGGGCTGAGTGTAGCATAAATGTTGGGGCTTTGGAGGAGGGGGTTAATGGGCCTAAATGGGCATTTTAAATCTTTTGTCCTGTTTAACCCTTCTATGGAAAAATTGGCTTTATTTTGGGTGGATGTCTGAGGATTTTTAAGTGGTAAAATGGATGCCTTCCTTAACCCTCTGCTAGATTTTAGCCATCCATTTAGCCTCTAAGTCCCCCTCTCCAAGGTCCTAAACAGGTGACAATTTGGGGTTTATCCAAAGTGGGTTCTGGAGGCCACATATCAGATTCTGCACTTAGGGTGTACATTTGCTTGTTATAATGATTGTATCTTGGAAATGTTCTCCATAGCAGCCACATAGAGATACTTGCTAGCTTTATAACATGGGATTTTGAAAAGACAGTATATATTTCTGACCATACATCTATTGATTTACGCACAGACTTACACTTATTTAGCACAGTCTAAATAATTGTGCCAATGATTCAGAATATTTAATTGTATACTATACCTATAATCATTCTTTTAACAAAAATCTATGTCTTTTCTCAGTGCATTTTTGAGACCCAAACTGGGAAAACAATATGAAGCTTCATGTGTGGTATGTGATTTTTTGTGTTTTTGATTTACTGATGTGCATGAATTGCTTGCTTTTAACATGGAAGCCCAGGAGGCCTATGTTCAACTCAGTGGGTCAAATGTAGTACTTGTTTTACTATCAATAGTTAAATGCATGATTGAGGCAGGCTGGATCCATGGTTTCCCCTTTGAATAGTGTACTCTTTACTAAATGTAGATCAAAAGGTTTTCACAGCAATACTAGCAGGGAGAATATATATGTAATAAACCTGATTAGACTGGGTTTGTCCCAAAGAAATAGATGAGAGACAACATTAGACTTATATTAAATGTTATTGACAAGATAAATCCAAACAAAACATTGGCTAGGATCTTTTTTGAGACAGAAAAAGCCTTTGACAATCTAGAATGGTCTCTTATGCTTCAAGTTTTGAAAAAGATGAGTTGTGGCTCTAATTTTTTTCACATGGATATAGAGCATTTATAAAGGAAAAAATGCCAAGACAATAGTAAAATAATTTTTTACTAAATAAAATAAAAAATAGGCTTTTTATCACAACAATGCACCATGTCAAAAGGACAAAACAAAGTTACCCCCATATCCTTCATTATTTTTACTAACATTAGAACCATTGGCAATGAAGATATGTCAAGAAAATAAAATTTCAGAAGTTAAACTAGCAACTCAAAAACATAAACTGAAATTATATGCCATAATCACTCAACCATAAGACTCCTTTTTAGTGTTAATGGAATATGTATAGCAATCAATTAAAAGAAAGCTCAGATGTTGATCTGGAATCTAAGAAAAGCAATATCATATCTGCATCTAATAACAGGTTTAACACTTCTGCAAAAAATAAGGTTAGGGTTAGGGTCTTAAGGTCCTTGGTCATTGGAATGATTAAGGGAGAGATGCTCTTCAATACTGTATAGGCTTCAACTATAACCTCTCATTTACCAAGAACCTAACAATTCAACCTTGAGCTATATATATATTCTCCAGTATTGCCTTTTCTATCTTTCTCTGTCCTGTCCCCTCCTTCTCATAGGCCTACCTAAGGGAAAAGTAATTTGTTGCATTCAGCATTTTATTCTTCATATTTTTATAAGCAGTTTATTGCTTAATGTGAACTGTACAATGAAATCTTGCTCTTGAATGTACTCATTCTTGAAGCCAATTTAATGTCTTGTATCAACTGGCTTATCGATAAATGCTTCTTTTAAAAATATGATCCATCTCTTTTCAAACATCCAGTTGTTTATTTTTATTTATTTGGTAGCCTCCAGGATAGATTCATTATTTTGCTGCTCATACTCTCTCTTTTTCTAATTTCTCAAAAATATTCTAGTATATGCTGGTAAAAGGTGAATAAAGTTGCAAAAAAAGAAGAAGTATATATTTGGAAACATTGGACTGAAAAACACGTTAGGGATAAATCATGTTTAAATATATAGGGGACTAGGAAAAAAGTGTATATTTGAGGTATTGATATGTTGTGAATAATTTGTAATTGTAGAATAACATGTACATTGTAGGAAAATCCATACAAAATCCATATACCAGTAACTGGGTTTTCTGCTGATTTTTTTAAAAGAGAAAAATCATACAAAAACCTTCCTCTTAAGATTTTGTTTGCCTCTCAGAGTCTTTTATATTATTGTTCTTTGAACAGTCCAGTAACACAGTTTCTCTGTGTTTATTTAGCTTTCAACTGTTGTCATATTTAGAATCAAGGTTTTTTTTAAAAAAAGGATTTGCTAAATTACAATTCATTCAGCATAATTTAGCCAAGAACAAGAAATCTAGGAGTAATTTGAAGGATTTAATTTCTTTGGACAAGGACTCACAGTCCAGTTACTGGGTATAATCCTGACGTCATTTCTATTTCCAAATATGGAACCAGAAACATCTGCCATCCCTGCAGATTCCTGGGTGTCTTTATTCCCATGAAATGGGAGGCAGCTTCAGGTATCGACTGAAAAGAGGCACGGAGGGGGACATGAAAAGGCAGTGGCTGGCCAGTTGACAGAGGACTTGAACTGGGGATGAAAGGAAGGGGGATAGACGTTGAGGAAAGAGCAAACCTTCCAATTAAAAAGAAAAGTCTCTGATCAAGCTTCTAGCAAGCCAATGTCCACAGGGCTTTAAGCTGAGACCTCACTAGAGGAAACTTCAGCAAGAATTCAGTGAAACCCCTGGGCAATCCTAGAAACCAGAAGAGCAGGAGGCAGAAGAAAGTGGAATTTATTCCTAGTTGTGAAGATTCACTGGTCTGAGATACTCTGGATCAAACCTGCTTCTGAACAAAGGATTTAACAGGGCTGTGTAGCCTGAAAAATGATGTAATTGCTCTAAGAACTCAGTTTATTAAAACAAGATGCTTCTTAAACTAGCCATGCTCTTTTGGAAACCTGAAAAAAGATGGACTGCTTTAACGAATAGCAGAGAGATGCTACATTTGGATGAGATACCAAACATGACTTTCTAGTCATTTTCAAACTATTGGCCCTTTGAGGTAGCCCAGGTCGGGAAACAGACTTCACAAGAAATACGGGAACCCTCCTTTATTTAAGCTATAGTAACAAAATCTTGAAAACCTGGTAGTGTGTTCCCTTCCTTCCGTCTTATATTAAAAAGAGTTAAGGCAGAGTCAGATTATGTTTCTTTTTTTAATATTCTCACATTTTCTCAGGCTTAAATCATGCTTTGATAACTATCATATTCCCTTCCAAGGTGATCTCTGTGATTCTGTACACAAAGCTTGCCCAGTGCTAGACTTTGCGCTTAATTAGACCCCCCCCAATTAAAAAAAACAAACAAACCATACCAATGTTACAGGCTTTGACTTTGTTCCTTGCTAAAATTTACATCCCATTTAGGGGGTATAGATTTATTTATCTCATCATTTATTTATTTGCAATGTTTTTAACCCATCTTAATCTGAAGCCTCTGGATGATATACAAGAAGAAAAGGTCAAAAGAACAGAAGGCAACCCACCCCAAAACAATCCCAACAGATGAATGCTGAAGACAGCCAAAGGGGGAATTAAGAACATTGTTTTGCCAGCTTTACAAAAAGCTGGGTCGGGGGTGCTGCACAGACCCCAGGAGGAAGAAAAGCCTGCAATACGGGGGCCGCTGCAGAAAAGACCTGCTGTTTTGCACAAGCATGATGGATGCCAAGTGGGAGATGTTTACACCTGATGGGCATATTCAGTCTTTTGCTTCATTTCAACTCTTTTATTATCTAATTAAATTATTAATAATAAATTCATTTGGAAAACTAAGTTCACAGATAAAGAAATGTAAAGAATTGCAGAACCGTTCCCATAAAGTCTCCTCACTCATATTATTCATTTACAGAATAATTTATTTACAGAAACTGTATTTACAGAAACTCCTTTCTCCATAATAGCATGTTCTCTGTAATAGCCGGTGAACAAAAAAACAAAGTTCGCTTTTCCCCATCTCGTATCCCTCTCTCTTTGCTTCTTCATCAAAAAATTAATTCAACCCACTTATCTTCCAACAGCTAGGCTTACCTTATTCTGGAATGCAGGTTTTCTCTTAGGATTAAACAGGGCCAGCCAGTTTCTCAGGGGCCAGCACAGATGAGGCTCCCGTTTGTGCAGTAATTGGCCTTGATGCAGTTAGCTTTTTCCAGCAGTGTAAGCATGTCATGGCAGACAACGGATGACCAGGATGACCTCCAGATGGGTAGACTTCAACTCTCAGAATTTGTATTAACAAGATGAGAATCCTAAGGGCTGGACTCTGCCACCATTTCAAATGTTGGCACATCTCAGATAGTTCATGGAGTTAATTTCATCTCTTTCAGTTTCCATTCAAAGGTGATTGATAATCACTAGATGGATTTAATGTGGTCCATGATGCATAGAAAGCTATTAAGTATTTGTTTAGCTGGGGAGAAGTTCCTATTATGAACTATAGTCAAGTACAGTTTAAGAACTGCACTTATAAGCAAAAAAATATGGAAAGTTGAGTTGACCTTTTGTGAAACTAATATGATATAAACTCTTTGACTTTGTAAGCTTATGAAATGTGGTCATTTTGCTGCCATGTGTTTGGTGGCATGATGTTGAGGGAATGGGGGATGGTGGTGGGGTTTAAGCAATTCTTGCAAATAATTTTTAAAATGAGCCAAAAATTTGCCTTTTCTGATGAAGTCACCACATTACTGGAAGTTTACCTGCTAGTAATCAGGAAAGTTGTGTTCCACAACATAGATGGCTCCAGATCAAGAGAATAAGGCAAAATAAGAGTTCGGAGATCAAAGAATATGGCTAGTTTTCCACAAACACAGAGCATTACAGCAGTCATTTTTCATATTATTATACTTTTTCTTATTGTTATAGCTTTCTCCTGTTTCATCTTCTCATAGATTGGGCATATCTCCTGGTCCCAACTTCTGCTGCACTGCTGGCAGAGAGAAACTTGCTGCCTTACAAACTTTGTCCACAGACATACCCATCTCATGAGTTCAGTGGGGTTTTTCTTTAAAAACCTAACACTTACTGCCTGAGCTAGCTAGCTGTTCAGCATCACATATTAAACCCTGTCAGGCTTTGCCAGGATGATCTGCCTTGATTTCCAGGTCTGTTGTTCTTGTAATTTTTCCAAAGGCTAGGGAGACATAACCATGACCAATCAGGATTATATCAGTTTCTTTCAAATTGAGTGTATCCTGTGTATTCTTATGAGTTAAAGCCACTGAAGTATGTGATGGTGCACTATTTTTAGAATGTCCCTGTATTTCTCGTATTTGTTCTTACTTACATCATTTAAAGGTCAATTGCACTTCCCCAGCGAGGCAGGCTACTGTGCAGAACTGAGCCAGTTGCAAGGAGAGTGGCATTAGACCAAGCAATAGGGCCACAGTCTTCATATCTACTAAAACAAAAGATGATTAACTGAAGCTTTAGATAATGGATAGTAGATAGATTTAATTGAATAGATGGGCCTTTGAATCAAATGCAGAATTTCTTAAGTTGAAGATA